CTGTCTGTCCGTCCGTCCATCCATCCATCCACTTACCTACCTACCTCTTGTCATTATAAATAACTCCAGCTTGAGTATATACACAATAAGTATAATCTTTATTGTCATTGTACTTAAATACAACAAAATTGGTTAATACTATTTCCTCCTCCTATTTTCTCTATAACAACAACCCAGTGAGGTGGGTTGGGCTGACAGAGAGTGAAACCCATTGTTTCCCAGCTGGCTTTCAGGCCTAAGGTGGGACTAGAACTCACTGTCTCCTAATTACTGGCCCAAAGTCACCCAGCTAGCTTTCATGTCTGTCTAAGACAGACTAAAACTCACATGGTGATTGGACCAAAGTCACCCAGTCAACTTTCATGCCTAAGGCGGGACTAGAACTCACCATCCCCTAGTGATTGGCCCAAAGTCATCCAACTGGCTTTCATGCTTAAGGCGGGACTAGAACTCACCATCTCCTGGAGATTGGTCCAAAGTCACCCAGCCAGCTTTCATGCCTAAGGCGGGACTAGAACTCACCATCCCCTAGTGATTGGCCCAAAGTCATCCAACTGGCTTTCATGCTTAAGGCGGGACTAGAACTCACCATCTCCTGGAGATTGGTCCAAAGTCACCCAGCCAGCTTTCATGCCTAAGGCGGGACTAGAACTCACCGGCGCTTAGTTATTGGCCCAAAATCACCCAGCCAGCTTTCATTCCTAAGACCGGACTAGAATTCCGTCTCCTAGCCCAGCGCCTTGACCACTAGACCAAACACAGCCTCACCTCCTTGCTGGGTTTTCACTTGGATGGGATCCGAGAGCGGGCCGTCCCCCACGGATGTGAACGCCAAGACTCGCACGGTGTAGGTCTCATGCTCCAGAAGGCTCCCGACGGTGGTCAGGAGACTATCGTCCACGTTGTGTTTCTGCCAGTTGCTGACCGGCTGATCGGGCTCCATGGTGTAATATACCCTGTATCCCCGGATCTGACCGTTGGGCTCCACCGGTTCCTCCCACTGGATGATCATGGTCGAAGCGCTCAACATCCGGCCCTGAACATTTCGGGGGGCGCTGGCAGGTGCCTGCTCCCCCGTACGGGTCACAACGGAATCGCTGTGGGGGCCCTGCCCAATGGTGTTCACCGCCGACACCCAGATCTCATATTCTGAGTTGGGACTAAGCCCCCCAATGCTGTAGCGGGTCGTAGTGATGTCCTCCTTGATTTGATACGGCCCGTCCTGACTCTTCGACTTATACTCGATCACGTAATAGGAGACGGGGTCCGGATTTCCGGAGTCCCAGGTTATGGTGATGCTGGTGGCAGTGGTCTCGGTGACAACAGGGGTGCCTGGAGCTTTGGGAAAGGCTGAGAAAATGGGAAGAATTGACTGAAAAGAAATACAGTCACGCCCGCGGCACGCACTACGTTTCCCCCTAATGGGCTGGTGAGAGCTCCCGCCGTGCGGCGCAGGGGGACGGCATGCACTGAAGAACAGGGGCTGAAATATCCCCACCCTAGTTAAGTAGAGTTTATGAACCTTTTTAAACAGCATTATCAACCCAGGAATAGCAATAGCGGTAACACTTAAAACTTATATACCGCTTAGCAGTGCTTCGCAGCCCTCCCTAACTGGTTTATAGAGTTAGCCTCTCCCCCCCCCCCCCCAAACAATCTGGGTCCTCATTTTACCCACCTCGGAAGGATGGAAGGCTGAGTCAA